TATTGTTTGCTGAGATATCTCTCCTTTCACACATAGTTTTTTAGTTTCATGGAATAGTTAATTTGGGGTTCCTCTGAATCAGATCTCACTGAAACTTTTAGGACACAGCTCTAAACTTATTCAATTGCCCCTTTTTTAAACTGATCTCATTCTAACATAAACCAAAAGTAATTGCATTGCTTGTAATAAAATTAAGGTCTACTCAAAATTGTTTCAATATAGGAAACTTTTTCATAATTTTAAATATTTTTCACACTCAGAAATGTGGTCTCATTGTCTCCTGAACTTGGTCTAGGTGTATCAGACCTCTGTGGATAGGAATAGCTGAATTTTGTTTCCTTTCACTTCATATTAAAGAGGATACTTTTTGTCAAGGCAAAAACTGGTGCTTTGTTATACTTGTTCTGACCACCTCCCCTCGTTGCAGTTTTCAGTAGTGGACAGGTGTATTTCTGCATAAATACCTTGAAACAACAAAGCCCTGTGTTCGTACTTTATTTCAGTTTGGGGGCAGGGGTGGGGGTGTGTGTGTGTGTGGGGTGTGCACGCAGCAACATGGGAGGGGAGCAAGTGGGAAGAAACTGCCATATTCCACAAAATACTCGAACATTATGCTGAAGCATTGGAGAATCTCTTTGCTTTTCAGTTTAGCACGTAACCCAACTATAATTTAACATAAGAGATGTGAGTGGCTGCCATAAAATGACACAAAGTTGGAACTGGAAGGGGAATGTGAAGTCCTTGGGGCTTCTATTCTTGGTTGGACTATAAACCCGATGTATGACCTTGAGCAGATCACAATAACCCTGACTTTCCAAAACATTTGCACCCCTGAACTGGATCTATAGGTTGGTCCTTAAAAGGGTGCAGACAGTTCATTAACACAAAGTGCTGTGAAATGAAAAGTGATACAGGCAGTGGAAAGTATATTATTAGAAATTAAAAATATTATGAATTGGTAATAATAATATAGTTAGGCTTATCCTATGATGTTGTACTTTACCCTGAAGCAAGATAAATCATAAGCACTTAGATTTTTTTTACAATAGGGTGCAGCAGTTAAGGGTCTTTAGAATGTTTCTTCAATATCAAAATTATTTTTCAGCCAGCATAGTCTTCAGTCTCGTCTAAGGTTTCACAAAAGTAAACCATACACAAGTGCAAAGTATTATTTACTTAATTAGTCCTTTCTGCAACATGAATTTCTTTCTGAACTTCATTTCTTCTTAATAAGTATCATATCTGTTGATGTTCCTTATGTTACTAAGCAATACCAACACTACCAAATAATAGGAAAGGAAACTTTAATAAGGCGCTATAATTCTGATCATATATCACAAGGTTAATTTCTTAGAAATGCTCTGAGATTCAAAGAGTGTGCAGTACAGCAATGTAAAATATATTGTTTTCATTATAAAAAGTAGTTCATATCTTCTAAAAATGTGCACCTAATTGCATAAAGGTAGAAAAGCACCACAAAAAATATTCAAAATATTCTGATTATATTTGATAACTCATCTTTAAAACCTTTACATTTATGTAGCAATTATAACCTAACCACAGGATCTAACATCTTAGATCTTCATCAAAATCAATCAAATATCTTAGGCTGAAGGTGCAATGTTATTCTGATGGAATTGCTCCCAAAGGCAATTTCGATCTATTTAAGCATCAGTTTTTCAGCACATTCTGAATTCAATTATTTCTGGTATTATTTCCTGGGTAAGGTTCTGTTCTAGGAATGACTTCAGTAAGAAATTTCTACTATATAAAACAACCAATTAATTGCAAACTGGTTAAACTAACATAATTGTTTTCAGAAATGCTACTAATACTTTGGTCCATAGAAAATGCAGAATCTCTTCCGTTACTTGCTTTCTAAGTGTGGTTTATAGAGAACTGCTGATTTCAGATGGTAAATTAGACTTATTCACATCACATGTGAACCTAAGAATGTTTTGGATGACCAATCTTTCTTTAGTACTAAGATGAATTTCTCATTCAGCTTCCAGGCTTTTTTGAACAACAGTATTTGCACCTGATGGTTAGATGCATGAAGCCAGATAACTACCAGTTAATTAGGGATAACACAATATTAGTGTGCTAGGGATTTTTTTTTTTTGCTTAAAATAAAAATGTGAATTTGAGCATTTTTTTCATCTATCACCATATGTAGGAATAACATGCATCTGTCTATACTACTGCAGAGTCCCCAGGCTCAAATACCTTTTTATCTTTCTTTACACTGGTTTTAGTGTATTTCAGAGAAATTTCTTCTTTCTTCTCTGTCCTTCTGGTTTTTGCTTAAGCTATTAACCTAGTTAGTCTCAAGAATACTTCTTCTCAAAAACTCTAAAAATAATATTCTTTCTGGTTAAATAAAGTTAACTAAAATATCTGTCAGGAATCAGTTCATAAAACCGTTTCAAGATGGGATAGTTCCAGAATTGAAATTATATAAGGAATTATATGTCTCCACCTTGGTACTTGTAAGGCATTTCTAGCTTGGCATTCAGGCTGGTATTGCCTTACTTTCAATGTGCTTGTAATCTTACAGATGCATACACGTCATGATGTATAGACACTGGAACAGGTTGCCCAGAGAAGCTGTGGATGTCCCATCCTTGGAGGTGTTCAAGACCAGGCTGGATGGGGCTTGGAGCAAACTGGTCTGGTGGAGGTGTCCCTGCCCAGGGCAGGGGGTTGGAACTGGATGATCTTTGAGGTCTCTTCCAACCCAAACCATTCTATGATTCTATTATGTGCTGTGTATCAGCAGAAAAAAAAAGGTAAATTGAAAAAAATTCCCCAGTCTTCTTGAAAGAATCTTAATTTAAAAATGAAGATGAATAGAATGTAAATTAACACTGGGGTTTTGGAACAGGTTAATAGAAGAATTAACTGCTCCCTTGCAGGGGGCAAATGCCTGCCTACTGGAATCACAGCTGTACTGCTTCAGATGTTCCTACTTCAGAGAAGAGAGGAAGTGGTTTCAATACTATCTTGTGCATAGTTCTATCTTTACTCACAAATGGACTGTTTAGAAACCTTGTGAATGACCAAAAACCTGGCTACAAACACACTTAACATTTGAAGACTGGTATTTCAGGAGACATCTGGAGTGTGTTGCCTCAAATTGCATGGCTGGTGGTATATGAGTGCTTTTCAAAACCAACATTAACTGCTATTATAGCAGAATACATTTTGATTCTTCAGCAGCACTAAATAGTATGTTTACCATTTCCCAAACTTGCCATCCAAAAGAGTAGTAATTCTGAAAAATGTAACTACAAATGGGTTTGATGTAAACATATCTGTTCTTCCATCTTGTAATTGCCATAGAAATGCTTGCAGTCCTGGCTCTTGATTTTAGAGCTCATTCAGGCTAACAAGAGTCATTCCCTAGATATGCAAGAAGCTGGAGTAGGATTTAATAAGATTTAGAGAACAGATTTAATGAATCTGCTATATTGCCTAGACTGTTATTACTGAAAATGTTCTTATGTTAAATGCTTATCTGTAAAGTAAGCCTCAAAAAAAACCCCAATTTTTAAATAGAAATACTGTGTGCTTCTCAGAGCCATGACAAATGGGAATTGGCTGTGTTTTCTAAGGTTGTTCCTAAGAGGCAAAGTACTGTGAGCAATATATTCAGAAAGAGACTAACTGACAGTGAAACTGAAGAAGGAGCTAAAGTTACAGTATTTCTGAGACTACTTTAAAATATGCGTCATAATTCAAATAGATTCCAAAACCAGTTATTGTTTGTAAAATGACTGCTGCTGTATGAAATAGCTTGTTCCCACACTCTACATTGAAAACAAAACAAGGATATGGATCTACCCTACAAATCTTAGAACGTTATAACTGCTCAGAAAAGAGATGAAGTCCAAGAATCCTCTCAATGAGGATTTTTAGACAAACAAACAGACAATCCAAGCATGGTGGTTCCAGTGCAGGTATTGCATTGATCTGAATTTTTATCACTGCTATTGTGATGGAAGATCTCTTAGTAATCCTTTTCAAAAATATGTACAGGAGTTACCCAAGCAATGCAGTTACGGTGACATTTTCTTTCACTTACATGTGCACGTATGCATACCTGCACGCCTAGAGCTTTTTTCAAATGTTTAAGAGATTTAACATTCACCACTTCCTTAAAATTGTCATATCCTATGTGAATTAAGAAGGTATCCAGCTCCAAGCAGACTTACTGCCCTGCAGAAGTTTTTAGGTGCCCAGAAAGCATCTAGGTATCTCTTATGCAGAGCTTTGAAGGAACTGCAGAATATTATCTGAACATTTGATTTGCCAAGATTTTCCCAGCACTTAAGTGACTACACTTCACAACACCCTGAAGAATCCACCCTGTCTCATTTATTTTTTCCACACTGATCCAGTGCAGACACTTCACTCTTGCTTTGCCACACTATTAGTTTTCTGCTCTGAAAGGTTCAGATTCCAAAATTTTTCCTATATCTGTGCTTTGTTTTCTGTGTCTAAAAACTTTTTTCATATGATCCATATGATTAGGATATACTATTCTAGGGAATTTGGGAAAGGGCATTGATTCCAAAGCAAAAATGCTCTGGAATTATTTTTAATATCATATAGAGTATGGCATATGTGGCAAGAGACGTATATGGTATATATGGAAGAGAATAAGGGAAATCAAAGCAAGCAAATAATGGTCAGAAATTTAAAATTTAAAATTATAATGTTCTGCTTAAAGGAAATAAAACAGGTAAACAATTATAATGTTCTGCTTAAAGGAAATAAAAGCTGTTGAAGAGTTAGGAACCATGATTGGTCACCCATGGTTAAGGAGAAAAAACACATGGGTTTTTTGGGTTCTTCTGAAATAAAGTCAGGGAAAACAAATAACTTCAGTATAAATTTTCTGTTGTGATCACAGATTAGATTTGCGAATTGAACTGTGAGTTGAATTTTCAACTGGTGATGGGATTAGAAATACTGATTTGTCTTATTTTATTTTGTAGATGCTTCAGAAACTTGCTGTGTGTTTACCACGTGTTCTGACAGCCAGTTTAAGAGGGGACTTACCTGTTCTTTCATTAGTCGAGCATAACATTATCTTGAATTAATTATTTCTCTCCACATGGCCTTCGTACTCATGTCAGCTTATCTTCTGCTGACTCATGCTCAGGGTGCTCCAGTTGAGAATGAGACGCTGTTCGAAACACTGACGTCACAAGTAGGATTATTCAGCAATAAAAGTGAACACTATTCAGCACAGGTGAGACCTCCTGGCACAAGCCGACAAATACCTCAGACAATCATCATAGGAGTTCGTAAAGGAGGGACAAGGGCTTTGCTGGAAATGTTGGATATTCATCCTAATATTGTGGTAGCAGCTACAGAAGTCCACTTCTTTGACTGGGATGAAAATTATGTGAAAGGAATAGACTGGTATAGAAGTCTGATGCCGTGTTCTTATGGAAATCAAATTACAATTGAGAAAACACCAGGCTATTTTACTTCACCACAGGCTCCAGAAAGAATTCATGACATGAATAGCTCCATTAAACTGCTGCTCATTCTAAGAGATCCCACTGAGAGAGTTATATCTGACTATACCCAAGTATATTACAACAGAGTAGAAAGCCACAAGCCTGTTCAGCTTTTTGAAGATATTGTTATTAAGAATGGAGCACTTAACACCAAATACAAAGCTATTCAGAGAAGTCTATATGATGTTCATATGGAAAAGTGGCTTAAGCATTTCAGTTTGGATCAGATACACATAGTGGATGGCAATACTTTAATCAAGGACCCTCTTCCTGAATTACAAAAAGTTGAAAGATTTCTAAATCTTCCTTCCAGAATTATGTCTTCTAATTTTTATTTTAACCAAACCAAGGGATTCTACTGCATTAGAAGTGATGGAAGAGAGAGATGTTTACATGAATCCAAAGGGCGCCCCCATCCTCTTGTGAACAATACTGTTTTAGAGAAACTGTATTCTTACTTCAGAGAGCACAATGCAAAATTTTACAGAATGGTTAATCATTCCTTTGACTGGAATTAATGCCTTTGGAATCAATGTTTCTTAAAAAGGGCCTGAAACAAACTCTTTCAAACATATCATTCTAACCTGTAAAGATTTGTATTATGAGAATTTAACATACTGGTTATATGCTTCATTGAAATAACACATCTTTTAACTCATTGAAATGTTGAGGATAAATGAGTTTCATGTATTTGTATGATTACTGTGAGTAATATTCTGAGCTTCTTTCTCCCATCATGCAAGTACATTAACTTCAGTGGACTTATTTCAGATCTGTATCTGTTACAAGATTCGTGCTGTTTTGGAAAAATGACTGCTTCTAACAGTGTAAAAATGTAAATATTTGAAGTGGTATTATCCTAACTGTTATGTATTTTTTGTTGTTAGTATTTTTTATATTATGCACAATGATAGTGGTGTTGATTTCTAGAATTTTTCATACAACAAGCTAAATTGTATGATAAAACAGGAGCATACATAGTGGCTCCAATAAATAATTCATCCTCTGTTAATATGCTGAAGTTCTTAATCAATTAATAATAAATTGAATCTATCTGACCTATGATTCTGAATAGGTGAACTAGAAGCTCCCTGTCTCACACTCATACTATCTTGGGTTTGGAAAATAAAAATAATCTTCAAATAAAGAATATGTACTGTTTGAAAGCGCTTTAAATGAGAGTTCTGAATGTAAAGAAATTAAATGATCCCTGGTAACCTCAATTTACACTGTTACTCAATACACTAAGAGCAAACAAAGAAGTGAATGCCAAAAAATTACTAATATCAGCAACTGTACAAATATTTGATTATATAAATTATGCCACTTTGCTCTTGAATGGAAAAGCTCTTCATTAGTACTACCATATTAATCATGTTTGTATTCTGTGACTAGTTATTCTATTGCTCTCCTGGCTTTGATTTACATATCTCCTTTGACACATTGATTCTTGTTTAAAAAAAAAAAATTACTTGCTTGCTCTCCAAAATATGGAGTATTTTCATTTTGTCATTTCTAATGCAAATCATGGGATGTACTGTGTTATACTGTATATCTCAGACACAGTGTTCAATATACTAAGTATGACATACTCACATTATATGCAAAAACCATACCCATCCATACACCTGCTTTAGGATTTTTTTTTATTTTTAATATCTTTTTGTTTGACAATATTGTGCTGGTCTTTTCTCCTTTTTCAGATAAACATTTTATTATATATCAGTACCAAAGAAGAAAATTAACTTTAAATGTTAAAGATGATACCAGATAGAACTACAGCTGCAGATGCGCTTGTTTGACATTGTACCTTGCAATGCAGACCCTCTGGTGCACCCTGTCGTAGAGACATTCATTAGGTGGATTCCTCTTTCAGCTTCTCGACACTGGGAGCTGCAGTTGTGTGGGCCCAGTCTGAGCATCACAGCATCAAACTCCACCTAAGTCTAAGCCACTGTGCTTCCTACAGGAGTATGTGTTCCTCATGTTGGATTCAGTCTTCCACTTCAGAGGCTAAAAGATATATAGTGCAGCACTAAGTATTAGGCTTTTGAGACTTTTTGAGAGGGCTTCTTAGATGTTAGGCAGGTAGCAGTATTCCACTCAAGCTGGACAGAGTCAGACCCAGCCAGATTATATGGAAATAACCTTTATCAAATAGTCCCTCAAAAATGTAAAATGTTAAAAATAATATAATAAATCTTATTCTTTATCTCTTCTGCTACTTGTATGTGCATATATAAGAGAAAATTATGCATAGAATTAGCATATAATTAACTTTGGAAATTATCTTTCTCATGTATTATTATTTACTGCATCTCTGATTTCTACAGATGGCCAAAATTTTTGTTTACTACTTCTGCTTTTTCTGAGATTGTGGCTTCTTAATCATTAATATTTATTAGATCTGGGTACTACTTAGAAGTACAAAGTCGATCTCAACCAGGTGTGGAAAGAACAGGATGTTCTCTACAAGAACATTGGATAGTTAAACTGTAAGAATTACAGTTGTGTGTCTAACGATACCTTCTTTGTCATTTGTCAAGTAAAAAGTTAACCCAGAAAAATTCTGAACTCTGAATCAGCAGGTGATTTATATTTGACCAACACTTTGAATTTTGTGGCCACAATTTTTTTATCTGATAACGGAAGCCCCAAATCAAGATTTCCTGTATTGTTTAATGTAGCCTGTTCTTTCTGACCAATGTAATCTCAGTGATGAATGGAATTCATTCCAGTCCATTAAATTCAGAAATACATTATTGAAGGTAGCAGCATACCAGCAGTTCATAACATAGATTGTAGGGGGTTTTTCAGCATTGCTTTCTGTTTCTTATACATTCCAAAACTTCCCATGTTCTGTTTTTTTTTTACTTTTTGATGATGATTCCATTTAATAGTATTGAATATGAACAAGGGGTTTTTTTGCAAGAATCTAATTTGAAAACAATGTATAATTTAACAAAGGTTTCAGGTATTTGCCAGTAACTGAAGAGTTCACATGTCTAGGTCCCATTCAATTTCATAGCCTTCCAAGAACAAAATATTAAAAAAAAAATGTAGTGTCTTTCTATATTTATGCTTGCAGGCATTAAGCCTTTCTCTTTCTTTGATGTTTACAGCTAATCTTTAAATGAGTTGAATACAGGAACAGCAGTTGGCAGAAGCTGTACGCATCTTTGAAAATGAAGGTCTTGCTGGAATTGATCTGTATGGATTAGTGTGTCTGCTTGATTTGTTAGCACTCTTCATTCCTGCTTAGCATTTTTGGGAAGAACAGAGTTGATGGAATGAATTTGGTGATCATTTTAGAGTTTACTAATATCAGAAGAAATAGATTATGCATATGATAATTTGGGAGAGGGGTTGGTTGTTTTGGTTTGATTTTACATAAATCAAGACTCATCTGAACTTTGTTTTTGTAAATGGTTGACAAAGATGCAACTTGGCCTCAGCGTAACGGAATTCAATAAACATAGCAGTCTATAATTTAACATTACAAACTGATTCAATGTTTCTCATTTTGTGGTCTGAAAAAAATTATTTCATGAAGTACTGACCTTCTCCGTTCTTACTGTCTTCAAAAGGTAACACTCCTTTCCTCATCCTCGAGGGGGACCAGATTAACCGACCCATTCTTTAGTAATACTGAAATAAAAAGAACTCAAGTTTTGGTACTTGGAATTCAAAACTAGTCCAATTTTGGAAAGAACTATAGGGTCACCATCAGTTTAAAGATGCTATGAACAGTTTAAGAAATTACAAATATTTCTTACATATTTCCACAATTGGTATCACACCATAAAGTATTCTTCCCCAAATTGGTCATCAAAGGACTATCATCTCCTTATCTGATACTTAAGAGGTGTTTGTAGAAATTAATTCCATGTGGGAGGTTGCTTAAAGAGATCTTGCGGTTGTTTTAAAGGTTGTTGAGAGCATCTGAATCAGATGATACAGTCATATGTGAGACCACTGCAGAATTGATGATGATTTGAGCACCTCTGATGTTGATTTGTATCCCACAAATATTAAGCCTTCATTTTAAATACTGTTCTTTTCCTATTTTTAGTTAAAAAGCCATAGTTATAGTTGCTTTGATCTAATAGCACTGAAAATTACTAATAACAAGGAACTGCAGCTGTTAAATGGATCAGTTTAGCCTTTGCTACAATAAGGAGCTCACTCACACTTCATACCTAGACAAATCTAATACTAGTATTTTTTTTTATAGGTTATATATATTACCTATAGTACATAAAGAAAAAGTAGTAGGAAACTTAAGAGCTAGGTTTTTGCCCTCAAAAGCTCCTAGTACTTAGCTAATGTCAAGAAAACAAATAGGTTCCTCTACTGCACTCACACACATTATTTTACCAAGAGGTTTGGTTTTTTCATTGTCTCTTCTGTATCTAGCTGCTGAAAGGCTTTGGACTGACTTCTGGTCTTTTCTTTCACAGCTTTTACAGTTCCTCTTAAAGAATACCTGTTAATGCATGTCATTATATGCTGCTACACAACATCAATCCTTCAGTATCCTTTTGATACAAAGCCAATAGATAATCCTATCAAATGCATTGAAGAAAGATTAGATTGACTACTGCAGGGAAGCGCATCTGCATACAGAATTTTCGGTCTTTGTGCACATTTCATGAATGCATCAAAAAGAAATTTAAAAATTGGGTTGTGTCCAGCAAGTTTGACTGCTTATTGCCTTTGTCAATTCAGATGCTTTCATGAGTTGGACAAAAATTGTAATATTGTCTTAATCCCTATAATTTCTTATTTAATCTTTGTGTCAGAACCAAAAATATGGGTTATTACTTTGCTTCATGGAGCACAATTTAAAAAAGAAAAGAAAAGTGAGAGACACACACCCCAATACCTTAATGCATAGTATGACTTGCACAATAACAATATGCACAATAACATTTCCTTACACAGAAAGGAACGTTTAAATTATTTAAGTAAATGTTATACGACTGTAGATTATTATTTTCTGTACTTGTGGATTTGATCCTTCATTTCCTCCAAAAGTTTGAATTTTATCATAGAAATGAACAGACATATTGGAATTAAAATCCATAATAATTTGCCTAGTACATTAATCATTACCAGCAGTTAGTGTCCAATATTTAGTTACTGGCCAAATAATTTCCACTTCGATTATTTCAAGTTTCAATGTGACTTACTAAATTGTTTTGCTATTTTATAAAACAAGTTTAAGAGCTAGAAGCACAGTGGATGAAAAGACTCTGTTGTATCATTCTTTGATTACAGAGGAATTTTCGTGTCTTTACGGTTAATTAACAGTGGTATGAGCTTACTGCAATTCCTGAAAACATTTTGGAAGCCCAGATACTAATAGAACTGCCAAGTATAAATTAATACTTGAGGTTGTATCTGCTACTTTGGGAAAATACAACAGATTAAACCAGACTGACACAAATCATAATTTCCTGGTAAAATAGAAGTGATGCAAAATGTACAATATTTTTTATGTATTAGCCCATGTAACAAGTACTATGAAGTCTATTTTCTGATGCAAAATGGTCTTACACTTTTACGTTTTATGTTCTTCTAGTTCTACCACAAAAACCTCTCAGTAAGTGTTTGAAGAAAAGCATCTTAAACTCTTTACCATTGTCATAGATACAGGTACAGGTTTTCTCTCAAAGGACATTTATCTGTTTTTTTATTGTTTCCTCTGAGATAAAAATGTGGTTTGAGTCACACTGCAATAAAAGTAGACAGTTATTGTAACAGAATTAAGAATATTACTTCTGTTTATTACAGTTCCCAGTGAAGAACATGTTTATATAGGCACTGGTAGTAGTTTAACAATCTCTTTGTGTTTTCTCTCTCTTCATTAGATAATGCAACTGTTATATCTTCTCTTATTCTGAAGAATGTTGCTCTAAACTCCTGTTACTCTAAAGCACTGACTTACAGATATAAATCAGATGGTTGTAATTAAAGGGAAGCACAGGTAATTAAGAATCCATTCCCTTTACCACTCAGACTGGCTAAGATTTTCTTATTTTTTAACTCTTTTGATGTGAACATTTTGATCCACCATAAACTTTCCATTAGGAATGTATAAATCAAAATTGCAAAAGGAAAAAATAAGGCGAGAGCAACTAGAATGCAATAAAACCCGAGTTGAAGGCCCTCTTCTGCTAAATATTTTTTGACATAATATGGCATAATTACAAATGAAAGTTATAATTGGCCTGATAAAACAATGCACAGGACTAAGTTTTACAATCATTAGGCTATTAGGGACATACATGAATGTACTTTTTCAAAACACTGTATTTCATCTTATTAGAGAATACCACAATACTGTAGGACACATCTCTCCTTGGGTGAAGTGCTGCAGTGCTACTAAGACAAATTGGAGGGGACATAACAATTCTCTACGCTTAAGTGTTGGCATTTTTAAATTCCTTTATGGAAAATTAACAGCATTAGATAGAGTGGTTTTGTTGTTGATTTGACAAGGACTGTGAGCCTAGAAAAATGCTGTGCAACTCTCATGAGAAGATTGAAGATGCCTTTTCTATACCAAGATACAAATCTACAACTCAAGACAAGTGACACAGATGGAATACTGCACACTGCACAGGGTGCATTGCTGCCTTGAGTGAAGAAAGATTAAACACTCATAAACAACATATGCTATAGTTACACATGCATCACACACAGCTTGCAAAATACACTCAGTCTAAAAAACAAGCAGGATCTACAGCTGTGCTCTAAAGTGATGCTGTTGAAGGCATACTGACCCAGGGGCAGCAGTTCCAGTATGAGCTAGCTGTAAGTCACTATTTGTTGTATTAAAAAACTGAAGCCTGTTTAGGCCATGCTCTAGACATCTTCTGTGAGCTAGTACCATATACTGCTCTTAATATTTTCACCTTGTAGACAAGGGACATTGTATTCTTAGATTCAAAGTAAGCTTCAACCATTATGTGTTTGCCAGACAACCCATGTTTATGTGATTGAAGTTCTTTGTCAAGTGTACATATGACAAAATGAATAAAACAGATTAACAGATTCTCTGGGAAAAAAAATGGCTAGTAGGTCATATACTTAGGGCCTGTTTATGTACAGTAAGTTCTGCTGAACAGGGTTCAAGTAAACTGCCTTTCATGGTTTTCAAAAGTAAACTTTCTGTGATTTCATTTCCTTCAATTTAGGGGGAAGAAGATTCCTCTACATTGTTTAATAACAAATGTGGAATTTTTAAATTCAAATTCATCTGAGAAAATATTTTGGTTTCAGTGTCTTAAATAGGAAATTACCGCTCAAAACTTACATTTTTAGTAGCATTAGAAAACTGTTCACTTTCTTTTTAGTTTTTGTATGCCTTGTGTTGCACCCTACCGCCTCTCCCTTAAAAAAATATTTTCATAGTGAATACCCTTTTTGCCAGCTGATTTCAAAGTTATATGGACAGAGTTCACAATATTAATCACTTGCATTAAAAATACAAAGGTTAGGTAGGGTAATAGCTAAGTCCTACATTTCCACGAGTGGAAAAAATGGCAAATGAAGCAAAACTGCGGTCACTTAAAATGGGTACCTGCTGAATCATACTGAGTATTGTGTACTCCAGATTATAGACAGAGAGATCAGGGCTATTTCAGCCATCCAGAGGACTGCTTGCAACATGTTTTGTGAGTTTGGAAAGAGTGGTTTCCCCCTTCCATCAAACAGACATTCAGGCTTCAATCTAAGCATCTTTTTTCCAGTTCTTAGGGTGCTTTTGTGGAAGTGAGCGGTTTGGTGCCTGAAGCCCAGGATGTTTACTTCGTGTAAATGAAGCTTCATTGCCAGTCACCCACTATCTTTGATTTTCTTCTCTATCTATAAATTCTTCTGTTTTGTTTTGTTTTTTCATGTATTAATGAATTATGGCTTTTATCTTTCACGGAATAAATAGTTTTGATCATAAACTTAGTTCTCCTGCTCTGAGAAAAGTAAAAGCTGAAACATATACTATGGCTTTCAAAAGTAAATAAATTTTGTCTCTATGCTCTGTTAGTATGTCAGGGCATCAGATTACAAATTTGCAAGCAATTAAGACAAAAGAGCCAATCTAACACATATAGTAAGCATAAAAATTCAGGATATTTTTTTGGAGGATAGGAAAAAAATTCACCTTCCATTTTAAAAAAGCATTTATTTGATATTTAACAGAAGCATTTGGATTCATGTGCTCCACTAATGTAAAGTGCCACTGACTTCAGTCAGCTACTATGACTGCAGTAAAACTACTTTAATTTGTAGCTACGGATCCAGCCCAAAATGTATATGTGTAGAGAATGCTACTTCAGTGTTAGGTGGCTGATAAACCAAATGAAATAACTGTACTTCCTGAAACATCACTTATTACTTAATATCACAAATTAAACATTTGATTGTAATGCTAGTATAGAAGATATTTCTCTCAATTTGATTTTTCTATAGAAATTTTAGTCAGTGATAAGCAAC